TTATCTGCACTACCCATGTATATTTTACAAATTAGTTGTTAATTTGACATATTAAATTACTTTTCCTTTGTAGAAATTTCTTCTTTGATTTTTAGATTGTGTAATCACTATATCACTATTCTAGCATTGAAATGACCTCACTCTAAGGGGCTGTTTGGTTGTATGTTTTACCATGTAAAAGGATGAAAAGTATAAAAAAGTGGGTCCTAATGTTAGCTTTCATCACTTTACATTGTTTGTTTAAATTCTCTTTTACATGAAAAGCTTACACCTTTTGATGAGATGTCACCGAAAGCAAAATCACCAAAATTAGGAGTGATTTTGTTGGAAAACTAACACAATGTCATAAATGTGTCTAAAATAATAATAATAAAATCAAAACCTTGTAGAAAGTGGTGAGGTGGATAACCACTTTCCATTTTGTGTCATAAATACTCTAGTTTACATTATACTATCCAAACAATGTAATACTATTATTTTAGGATTCACAAATATTTCTAACCAAACAATGTAAACACTCGAATGGAAAGTGATGAGGTGGATAACCACTTTTTATTTTGTGTCATAAATACTCTAGTTTTCTAAAGGCATCCAAACAGCCCCTAAATGGCTTTAAGCTAATATTTTGAGTTGAATGAAAATATATATTATTGCTACTATGTGTATATATTATTTTTTTTTAAATCATGCCAACACTTTTTAAACAAAAGAGAATATTCTAACATGTGATATTATAAAAACTAAATATAATCAATTAAGTGATTAGCAAAAGAGAACTTACATCAAAAAAACGTGAATATAAAAATAAAGATAAAAGATAATGACACTACCAACAGTACTACCACTAGCAAACTACAGCGTAAAATTAACATATTTTGTGGAGCCAAACTACTGACTATAAGCATCGAGGTTTTCACATTTATACTTTATAATTTATTAAAAATGGTCATATAATCTTATATAATAAAATTGATTTACTACCGAATATTAATATTGTTGTAATAATATCGTTATTAGGGAAAATTCTTTATGAACAAGTATAATCTTTACGTTATATAAGCTATGCACTCCAAATTATTGTGTTTTTTATGGAGTCAAAAATTTTGAATACAAGCCTCTAATATTTTGCTATCACAACAACAAAATCCACATAGCAAATAAGGATATTCCAGATGAGTTATATGTCTCATATACAATACAATTGCCTAGGCAAGTGAGTTATAATAGCATATTTAATTCATATTGTTTGGGCCAAGATTTGGTAAAGACCTTGCATCAAAGAAATTTTTTATATTTAGAGTAGATGGTGAAATATATCATAATCTCCCTGTTCTAATTTCGCAAGAAAATAATTCTTCGTACTTCCAGTTTTACTTGTATGATACGGAGAATGATCTATAAAATTGAATGAGAATATAAATAACGTTAGTGTGAGTAAAATCATAACTAAAAGTTAATGTAAATATGAGTCAAACCACAAGTAAAAGTTTAATGGACATATTTTAAGTAAATTCATATGCAAAATTCCTTCGCGAATTGAATGATCACCCAGCTTTTAAAAGACTTCAAGATATTATTTAATAGATATGTTGTACTAGATTAATGTGTTTATAACTCACAAATAGTAGATCACGTGGTCACAGTCTGAGTTGAATGAAATAATAACAATATTTTATTTGAAAGAGAGATTATTGAGTTAATGATCAATCCCACAAAAACCTTTTTTTTATTTTTATTCCATTTTTATTAATTTAAATAATCATGATAGTTAACAATGTGCATTGCACGTGCATCTCAACTAGTAAGAAACAAAAGTTTGAGTCATTATTTGCTATGATTAATTATGAGTGTTAAAGAGTTCATCTTTTTGTTTCTTATACTACAAAAATAGTATAATTTTTAGATATTATCCAAATTAAAACCAACACTAAACAGGGTCAACTTGAAATGTGCCCCCATTCAGTAGCAAGTGGACCCATAGTTTCAGTCTCTCCCAATATAGTTTCTCTGGTTGTGTGTGTGTGGGGTGGGGGTTAGGGAGGTGGGAGGTTTAAATTTTATAGTGAGTCAATTAGAACCAGGAGTAGGATATAATTTTATAGTGTTAGTCAATTAGAACTAGAACAATATTAGAAGTGGGTTAATGATACAAAAATTACCCCACTTTATTCATTTCTCTATACAAAAATGAGAGTTCTAGAGTTTTAAATTATCCCAAGTTTTGGGTTAGAACAACTTGGTAAAAAACTAGAACTTTCATGTTTATTTCTTATTTTTAGTTTTCATATTACTTATCTTTTCTCCATCCTCTCTTCCTCCAATAGTCATCGCTATCATCTAACCACGCTATCATACTAGATCATCTTTCCTCTTAATCCTCTCTTTATATGTTATTTTCTTTTTTTATTGAGATTTGATTTATATAATTATTTTAAAATAAAAACTCGTAGAACCTAAA